TCCCAAATCCCAACTCCTGAATCCCAAATCCCAACAACTCCCAAATCCCGACCCCCTACTCCTGGACACCCAAACTCCCAGAATCCCTGAACCCCAGAATCCCAAAATTCCAGAATCCCAAAATCCCGAACTCCCGAACTCCCAGAATCCCGAAATTCCAGAATCCCAAAATTCCAGAATCCCGAACTCCCAGACTCCCGAAATCCCAGACTCCTGATCTCCCTGGACTCCCAGAACCCCCGGACTTCCCCCTGGAACACCCCCCATGAATCCTGGGATATGATACGTGTGTGTTTTCCTGTTTCCCACTGTTTCCTGTTGTTTCCCGTTGTTTCCCGCCGTTGTTTCCCGTTGCTGTTTCCCATTGTTGTTTCCCGCTGTTGTTTCCCGCTGTTGTTTCCCATTGCCGTTGTTTCACACCGTTGTTTCCCGTTGTTTCCCATTATTTCCCATTGTTTCCCATTGTTCCCCATTGTTTCCCATTGTTTCCCATTGTTTCCCATTGTTTCCCATTGTTTCCCATTGTTTCCCGTTCTTTCCCGTTCTTTCCCGTTCTTTCCCATTGTTTCCCATTGTTTCCCATTGTTTCCCATTGTTTCCCGTTGTTTCCCCACTGTTGTTGTTCCCCCACTGTTGTTGTTGTTTTCCCACCGTTGTTTTCCCACTGTTGTTGTTTTCCTGCTGTTGTTTCCCACCATTGTTGTTCTCCCACCATTGTTTTTCCACCGCTGTTGTTTTCCCGCCATTGTTTCCCGTTGTTTTCCCGCCGTTGTTGTTGTTTTCCTGCCATTGTTTCCCATTGTTTCCCGCCGTTGTTTTCCCACCATTTTTGTTTTCCTGCCGTTGTTTCCCGTTGTTTCCTGCTGTTGTTTCCAATTGTTTACCGCCGTTGTTTCCCGCTGTTGTTTCCCGCTGTTTTCCCACCATTGTTGTTTTCCCGCCGTTGTTTCCCGCCGTTGTTTCCCGTTGTTTCCCCACCACTGTTGTTGTTTCCCTGCCATTGTTGTTGTTTCCCGCCACTGTTGTTGTTTCCCCGCCACTGTTGTTGTTTCCCGCCATTGTTGCTGTTGTTTCCCGCCATTGTTGTTTCCCCTCCATTGTTGTTGTTTCCCGCCATTGTTGTTGTTTCCCCTCCATTGTTGTTGTTTCCCCGCCATTGTTGTTGTTTCCCCTCCATTGTTGTTGTTTTCCCGCCATTGTTGTTCCCCGCCATTGTTGTTGTTTCCCACCATTGTTGTTGTTTCCCCGCCATTGTTGTTGTTTCCCCGCCATTGTTGTTGTTTCCCCGCCATTGTTGTTGTTTCCCCGCCATTGTTGTTGTTTCCCCGCCATTGTTGTTTCCCCGCCGTTGTTGTTGTTGTTTCCCCGCCATTGTTGTTGTTGTTTCCCCGTTGTTGTTGCTGTTTCCGTCGTCCCCCCGCCTCCTCGTTGTCATCATCGTGGTGGTGGTGGTGGTTGTCGCGTCAGCTGCTGTGGCAGGCGCTGCTGTTCGGCTGCGCGCTGTGCGTGGGCTGCATGTCGTACGTGATGGCGGAGCGCAAGCACCGCAGGGCCTTCCTGGAGGCGCGGCAGTCCCTGGAGGTCAAACTCAACCTGGAGGAGCAGAGCCAGCAGCAGGTGGGGGCCGGGAACGGCCGCGGCCGGAACGCCGGCAACGGCGGCCGGAACGACAGCGGGAATGCCGGGAACGGCGGTGGGGATGGTGGGAATGGCGATGGGAATGATGGGGATGGTGGGGATGGTGGGAATGGCGATGGGAATGGGAATGATGGGAATAATGGGGATCATGGGGATGGTGGGGATGGCGATGGGAATGATGGGGATCATGGGGATGGTGGGGATGGCAATGGGAATAATGGGAATGGCATCGGGAATGGGAAAAATGGGAATAATGGGGATCATGGGAATGGTGGGAATGGCAATGGGAATAATGGGGATCATGGGGATGATGGGGATAATGGGAATGTCAATGGGAATGATGGGAATGATGGGAATGATGGGAATGTCAATGGGAATGTCAATGGGAATATCAATGGGAATGTCAATGGGAATAATGGGAATAATGGGAATAATGGGAATGATGGGAATGATGGGAATGATGGGAATGGCAATGGGAATAATGAGAATAATGGGAATGATGGGAATGATGGGAATGATTGGAATGGCAATGGGAATGTCAATGGGAATGTCAATGGGAATGATGGGAATGATGGGAATGATGGGAATGATGGGAATGTCAATGGGAATGTCAATGGGAATAATGGGAATGATGGGAATGATGGGAATGATGGGAATAATGGGAATGTCAATGGGAATGTCAATGGGAATAATGGGAATGATGGGAATGATGGGAATGTCAATGGGAATGATGGGAATGATGGGAATGATGGGAATGGGAATGTCAATGGGAACATCAATGGGAATGATGGGAATGATGGGAATGATGGGAATGATGGGAATGATGGGAATGGGAATGTCAATGGGAATAATGGGAATAATGGGAATGATGGGAATGATGGGAATGATGGGAATGTCAGTGGGAATGATGGGAATGTCAATGGGAATGATGGGAATGATGGGAATGGGGATGATGGGAATGATGGGAATGGGGATGATGGGAATGGTTGGGGTGGGGATAATGGGAATAATGGGAATAATGGAAATATCGGGAATGTCAATGGGAATGGGAATAATGGGAATAATAGGAATAATGGGAATAATGGGAATGTCAATGGGAATAATGGGAATATCGGGAATGTCAATGGGAATGGGAATAATAGGAATAATGGGAGTATCAGGAATATTGGGAATGTCAGTGGGGATAATGGGAATAATAGGAATAATGGGGATAATGGGAATAATGGGAACGGCATCAGGAATGTTATCGGGAATGATGGGGGTGGGGATGGGAATAATGGGAATATCAGGAATATCGGGAATGGCATCAGGAATGTCATCAGGAATGGTGGGGGTGGGGATAATGGGAATAATGGGAATATCGGGAATACCAGGAATGTCAATGGCAAGAATGGGAAGAAGAATGGGAAGAATGGGAATGGGAATGTCATCGGGAATGGT